TCACTTTTAACCAGAAGTTTCATCATTCTTTGATAATCTCGATAAATGGAGAATGACTAAGCCAGTATACAAATTTGCAATTCCATAGTTGGTAGACTTTAACACATTAAGAAAATATCAATCGATGAAACTACTTCTTTCATTTTTAGATAAAGCTACCAAGTACATTTTTTAGTGTAATTATTTTTCTAGCAGCCCCTGTGCCGTGAAGGCGCAAATTACAAGAGATTGTGCAAATTGCACAAGTACGGACAATGTAAATTATATTTAAAGCATATAACCAACGGGAAAAACTGACCTCTCAGCAATAATAACAAGGTTTAACTTCAAGTGTTTGCTTATACATCGAAGGAATGTCACGTAGACCTTTGTTAGATTTGAATGAATTTGTCTCAAAACAGAGGGCTAAATTTATTAATTAAACCACAGTCGAACAGAATGTTCCGAAAATTATTACATATTATAATTCTTATTAAATAAAGACGTGCATATTTTGTTTATAATATAGTGTATGTATCTTATATGCAATTCAATATATTCCATTGCTTTAAAGAGTTGTAGTGGCTTTGTTGAACGATTTCAGAAATTACATATTTCGGAACTACATCAATAACATATTATTATTATCTGAATCTAATTTTTTAAGTGCTTACAATTTTATGAAGGTTTGGTGCTTGCATGAACTTGTTTGGAAAGAAAGATAACTACTGTCCGCTTCTGCAAGAATATTTGTAATTAATTATTAATGTTTATGTAGTTTTTTAATTTTTACAACATTTTGAAAGAAAGTTCTATTCTTATACTGTGGAAAAAGTGTAACATCGTAAATTACACGAATTGGGAATTTAATAGGTTTATAAAAGTTCCAATTTACAATAAATGTGAGCAGTCTTTTGATTACAACTTTTTAATTTTGTTCCGGCGAAGTAGAAGATCACGAAAACATGTTGCGACACGACAAAATTTTTCACAAACTTTGCAGACATCTTCACCACTGTGGGATTTACAAGTTAAACATACAAAAGTGTTAGGCAGATGTTACCCGAAAAAATGCTAAAACGTCACTGAATATCAAGTAAATTAAGACTATTTTTCTTCCATACACCTTTTCACTCAAAGAAACGCCCGACAGATTATAACTCTGCGAAACCAACAACTGCCAATATATCTGTGGACGGTTGTCCAAATATGAAAAGCAATAGGAGAGTAATAAATGTCATTAATCTGATCAAATTTTTTCCGTCATGCACTAAACATGCCAATCATTCTGACAGGTTTATTTTTATATAGAAACTATGAATTCATGTCGAGGTTCGAAGCATGAGTACGTACGATTTATAGTGACGAATACAAAACTTGGCCGAAAAACTCATAATCGACATATCATGAACTCTAAACTATGCGTTTCCGGGTTACGGCATAAATTAGACGAAGTGAATACCAAGATGCCCACCATGATCTTCGCTACTCGATCCGTTAGAATTTTTTATGAGGTTCCATAAAAATACAACCAACAATCTGCATACGAGTCGAAACGGTCACATGTATTAACTCTTAAATCGAGATTTAAACAATGTAGAATACCTACCTAATTATCTATCGTGTCGCCTTTAGATGCATCATTAAGTATCATGAAAAGATTTCTACCCAGTAATTAAAAGGGCTGCGACAGACTAACAGGATTATGACATATTAATGCAAATATTTTTTTACAGGATGTCCAGCACTCTTTTATCAAACATTACAAAAAAAATAGGTCAAAGTCTATTTCGACAAAAGTTCTCTCGCGCCTAAAGTATAGTCCAACAAATCCCGCTTGTTTAAAATATTATAAAATTTGATTTTGCGATTTTTGTTTTGTGGTAACCTATATAAAATAAAAACCAGTGACATAAATAACACCCCCGCAGCTTCTGCGACTTGGGAGCGCCAGAAAAAAAAAATGTCCTCACGGTAATAATAACATGCCAACTTCGAGTGTTTATGTTTATAGTTTCAAAGAACACATTAGCACATTCAGATACCATCCATCAGCAGCGGCATGCAATTGCATTAAATAAAATACAATGAAATTTGTTTGATTCTATCTCCTTAAAACAGAGGCGAGGACTGATTAGTTAAGCTACAGTGGAACAAAAGGATTAAAATATTATGTTGAGCGAGGAACTGTTATTACGATAATTATTTTATTATTATTGAATGTAGGCGGGCGCCATATGACTGTGATCTTACATTTTCGAGGAAACGGGGTAAACCGTTCTTGATTTGATAAAAACGGTCTAATTTCCTAGAGTTTCCTATTTCATATAATACGGAAATACAGGTTTACCGTTACAGTCTATCTGTGTGTGCGTCCTATACTATTCATTTTTTGGCGGGAGGATTTTCAAAATTACCGAATCGATAAAAAATGTAAGATATAGTAAAATCATCACCAAAAGTAGTCAATTTATCATTTTCAATATGCTTTTTCACGGAAGATTCAACAGTGCAAATCTATATGTAAGTTTACATGTACGGATTGTTATTCGAAGTACACTAAAGTGTATATATCACTATCCATCTCTGGTAAATTATACACTAATGGAAAAAAAATATGGAATATTTGGAAATTTTCATACATACATAAAAGACCTGCATAACTCTTTTTTATTATTTTCAAGTAAATGTGATGACAACAAATATTTCATATTTTTGTCCATGGACATCTTTGAAAGAGATACTGGTAAAACACTTACAATAAGTTAGTGATTCTAATTAGAAAACATTCACTAAAATTGAATAATTTATATCCCTCACGAAATTGATGACGTCATCTTAAACATAACTTCACAAATTTGTATACACGATTTGAAGCGATCAAAATCATATGCTAAGGAAAATACACAAAATCGTCTGAATAAATAATAATTCCCAACATGATTCCGGATCAAATTTTTTCATGTTCACGTTCAACGTAAGTAACTTCGGGATACGTTTTTAAAGTAGACGTCTTGGCAGAGTGGCGAATTCGAGGGTTGTTTTATGTACGGCTGTCTTCAATTTTTAAATAGATTTTGTGCAACGAAGCTGCTTCTTTTAAAAGTTTAATAAACAAAGGAGAAAGGAAATTTATTCAATCATCAATATCACGAAGTGCAAACCGTTTATACATGCAACTAAACTACTGCAACTAGCATTGTAACTACGCATTTTTATCAAATATATTACAATAATATATTAGCAAGAAAATTCAGCGATTTCTATGAAATCAATATCATACAAATTTCCACTTCTAAATAAACAAGAATTAAAAGCGCCCTGTTTAAACAGTTCTCAGAAACATCTACCATTATTACAAAGCGTACAAACCGTCAGTTCAATAGAATTATTATGTACGATAAATTATTGAGAACACGGTACGTTATTAAGATCACAAGTCCAAGTTCGAGAGAAATCATTAAAAAATTCCTAATGTCAAATTGACGTTGACTCATAAAAACAAAATATCGATTTAGATAGAAAATGGAAAAAGCGAGCTACTGAACAAGCTTCTTGAGATACTTATTGTAAAATGAAGAAAACGCTCGATAAAGACAACATACCGAGTAACTATTAATGTTTGTGATTTTTTTTGGTGAGATTGGTAACATATTTAAAATCTTATGATAGCATACCTGATGCAAAATTCAAATTTTAGTACCAAATCAGTAGATGCCATCTTCTCATTGTTTTTTTAGGCGCACTCGAGTCAAATTGACAATTGTGAACCGACAGTCTGCCAATAATTCAGAGCTGCCAACCCAAAAATTTGCTTCAATCATTAATAGTCACCCGGTACCTCAAAATTATTTTGACTGAAATTAATCCGATTGATTTCATGTACCCAACACCAAGTAGTGAATTAAAACATGGTCAAATATCTAAAATTGTTTACATTATTTTTTCTCTGCTCCATAGGCACTCCTAACAACGTGTCATAGAGGTGGTGCGCCATTCTTTGAACACCTATGTATTTTTAAGTGTTGTATCAACGCTAAAAGAATTTCGAGTCAAAAGCAAATCTATTACTCTCTCAAAACAAGCAATTCAAGTTTAACCAAAGCTTCAACACAAAAAAAAACAACGGTTGGTGGAAGACAGTACAATTAACAATGTCATATAATTTTATCTAATGGGAAACACAAATCCAATTAAAATTGTCTTAATGATTTCAGTGCATAAAGAAAATGAATTTATGACTATTAATACACGAAAACCGGACAGGAAATTTATGGAATGTTTATTTATCCTCAGATATGAAAAAAGTTTTATTAGAATCTCTCGTTGAAAAATTATTTAAAAATATATAATCATACAGAATAATTGAATGTAGAATTATCGATCGATTTGACATGGACCTATCGTATTACTTCCGCGGCGATAGCGTAAAGGTAAAGTATTGAGGTAATTTGCTTATATAAAATTGTTTTTCAATTTAAATTAATAAACGATTATTGTTTAACGAAAATACGTAAGTAAACAAAGTTTAGAATGTTGTGAAGCTGCAGTTGTGGTATGTATAACCTGCGTTATCGAAAATCGAAATCATCATGGCATAAATTATGTGTAGTGAATGTTTTCACAGCAAATATTTTATTTTATATTTTATTTAACATGAATAACTTGGTGGTAAATCGGACCATGAGTGTTGTGCAAACAGAATAAATTAAATGAATTTCACTGGGGTTCATGTTTTTTTTTTTTTCGAAATTACGCGGGTTTAACGGTTGTGATAGAAACCATACGTCGATTCGTCTGAGTATCAGAGGTAAAAACAGATATCGTTTCGATCGGTGGGCACTTGTCGGTTTACGAATGAGCCTTAAGTTTATTTATTGGATCACGGGCTATTCAGGATTCGCAAAGGAGGAACTGGAAGTAATTGAGGAGATATGACGTCAGCCGGCAATTCCGACTGCAAGGGAATAGCATCGCTGGAAGCATCAAGATCTTTAAGGGAATAGAACATGGCAACTAACCTTTTTGAGATGTCCCGTGGCGGTCCCTATGAAGACTACGGTGAAATCACCTGTGGAGGTGGCAGCGACTGCAGTCAGTCTCGTGGTGAAGATGAGCACAGGAACAGAAGCGATGGGTTGTTCTCCTCCCAAAGGCGTGTTCACATCTAACCCACAGAAGTCCTCTCCGATGGTTTGTAATTTCTGGAAACAAATACACCGTCAGACGAGAATACCCAAGCGAATACCGGTGACGTGTAAGTTACTGACGCACCACCCAAGCAGCAGCTTTTTTAAACATTAACGAAATCCGGGGAAATTCTAAAACAAGAAATAATTATCCGCTTTGTTAACTATTTTGCAATTTACATTTGACTTCTATCCATCATTTTTACTTGTCAACAAGCTCGATGCGAAAATCTTATTAACGTATTAACTACCAAACGATGCTACGGCTGCCTTTGGGAGATACCTGCCGGAGATCACTCTTTTTTTTTGACTTTCTATTCTTGAACTCAAACTCATTCATCCATTTGTTTTTAGTCTTCCTCTATAAATAATTCTTAAAAATATGAATGCATTCATAAACCACAAATATAAACTCATAATATTTTACTTATATGCTTTATAGAGTATCTATTCGGCAAGATTTTGAGATGACACAAATTTTTTGGAAGGGATAAATGGATAAACTTCGATTAACGATTTACAATGCTTACTATGACCTTGCAAGATTTTACAGGATTCGGTTTAACAGTTTCAAAGATAAAATTGAAAACGTTATACAATTTTCATTTTTTTTTTACTTCCCGAGCGTAACCTAAGGAAGTATAGGTAGTAATCGAGTCCATCGGATGAATGGCCACTTTTATATTTTTTCGGCCCGTCATGACCCCTACAGTACGAAAAAAGTAGTCTCCCGTTTCCGTCCGTCTGTTTGTTTGTCTGTCTGGTGTTTGTATCCATTTTTATTAGACACGTAATCTCCGAAACTGCTGAACCGATTGTTGTAAAATTTTGTATGTATATTAGAAATATGTAGATGGTTAAATGCTAATCAAAATTTGGTTAATCATCCGCACCAACAATTTGATGACGTTATTTCAATGAATTGTATTTTACAATGATTTGAATGTTATACAAAAAATTGGTCTAAAGAGTTTAGACAGTACTTTCCTCGCCGTCGGAAACGTGTCGACTGCATGCCTAGTACTTTTTTCTCATTACATTTTTGTAGCGGGGCATTTAAAAAAAAATTGCGATGACGTCATCAACATTTTTGCAAGGACACGTATATCAGTTTGGATAGATGTACTGCCCATTCACAATGGACATAAGGCATAAGAACGAGCGCATAACATAATTTACGTTTTTGGTTTGTGTCTGGCTTATGCTTATCTACGTTCACAGTGGACAAAGTGAACTCTGTAAGAATTGTTAAACTGCGCAAACGCAGAACAGAATAACTGCCGGCTAAGCATAGGGTGTGAAGTGCCAAGTGCCAGCTGTTAAAGGGAATTCAATAGCAGCATTCAAAAGTCCCTAGATTTTAACATAATTTTGACATAATTTGTGCACAAAGTTGAACTTATTTCAACTTTGTGTACGCACACAAGGATTACATAAAACGTTCATAAGCATAAGAATACTGTGAACAGGGGTATATGTTTTCCATCGTTTCAACTTTATGTATTTATGTAAGCTTTATGTATTTGTTATGCCTTATGTCCATTGTGAATGGGCAGTAAAAATAAAAGTACTGTATTCCCAAATTTTCGGGAAAATGAATTGGGTCGTCTTGAATATTAATTTATAGTCAATAAAATAACGAAACAGTTTACTCACGTATGCCGCGTGTATTAGCAGAGACGACTCAAAATCATTTATGTATAAGCATTCTTAATTTAACACAACAAGCGGTAACAGACTGTCTACATGAGAGTCAAACAGAGAAACCACAAACAATACCGATGGTCTTCCAGACATTTTTATTGCTTCGACTTCCGCTTATTATATAAAACATTGGATTTTATTTTAATTTTTGATGGTGTAATTCACAACTGGTTGATTATAACTTGTCTATACCACATTCACGGATCCTAGTCAGCGCAACAAAACAAGTGTACGCCTGTAATGTTAAAGTAAATGTAAATAAGCGTGCTACGCTTATGTTTCAAACGAGTTTTTACTTTACAAAATTTTGTGTCTATCAAATTGGGTTGGTGCCCAATGTAATACTAATAATAACAGTATTGTATCTTCAAATTTTCGGGAAAATTAAATGAGCTATTCCTGATTTAATCAATAAAATAAATTACTCATTCATTAATTTTTTTCAGCCACCTGTTAAGCAAATCTAAAAAATATGAATGGAATGATAAATCACAACTACAGACTCATATTTTGTACATTTTAGAAAGGATTTATTCAGCAAAATTTTGAGGTGACGTCATCAATTTTTTAGGGGGGATGAACAAATACATTTTGATCAAAAATTTACCATGCTTATGATAACTTTAAAACATTTCCAAGATTTCAAAGCATTCGATTTTGTAGTTCCTGATTAAATCAATAAAATAAATTCAAGCATTCATTAATTTTTTTTGAATCAGCCTGTATAGGGAAATCCAAAAAATGCGGATGGAATGATAAATCAAAAATACACGTATCATATTTTGTACATTTTTGATAGGATTTATTTAGCAAAATTTTGGGGTGACGTCTACAATTTTTTAGGGGGGATGAGCAAATACACTGATGAAAAATTTACTATGCTTATGACAACTTTAAAACTTCTCCAAGATTTCAAAGCATTCGGTTTTGTAGTTCCTGATTAAATCAATAAAATACATTCATGCATTCATTAATTTTTTTTGAGTCATCCTGTATATGCAAATCCAAAAAATATGGATGGAATCATAAATCACAAGTACAGACTCATCATATTTTGTACATTTTAGGTAGTACTTTCCTCGCCGTCGGAAACGTGACGACGGCAAACTTTTGAGCTGACGTCATCAATTTTTTGGAGGGGATAAGATATTTTGATTAAAAATTTATCATGCTTGTCATAACTGTAAACCATCTGCAAGATTTCAAAGCATTCGGTTTTGCAGATTCAAAATTAAATTGCAAAATGTTGTTTCATCATTTTGATTTTTTTTCCAAAAATCTGGACGTTTCGGGCAAAAACTCAATATGGAGTCATAAACTACTATGTTATTTCATACAATTTAAAATCCATTTACTATGTAGAATTTTGAAGTAACGTCATCTCAGTAGTGGTGGGGATGATTAGACAAATTTTGGTTAGCGTTTTACCATCTACATGATATTCAAATATAAATACAAAATTTCACAACAATCGGTCCAGTACTTTCGGGGATTGTCTGTCTAATAAAACTCTGGGACGGCAGACAGACGGAAACGGGAGACCTATTTCTTCGTACTCTAGGGGTCATGAAAGGTCGAGAAAGTAGAAGTAGAGAGTCGGCCGACGGACTCGATTACAATACTTCCTTTGCTTACGGTTGGGAAGTAAAATACTCTTATACTACTATACTTATTATATTTTTTCTATTATTTTTTTTCTTGCATTGGTATTACGCTGTGACTACTTTTTTTTGTGTTGTAGCTAGCATTGTCATGACGCCATCACAAATGTTTTATTGATCAAATTAAGAACGAGTTACCCCATTTTCTCGAACTCTCGAAAATGTGAAGAACACGCACGTCTTTATGTAATAATGATAAAATAAGAATTATAATATAAACATAAACACTTGAGCTTCAGATTGCTATTACCTAGTGCTGAAGGACATTTTATCCCGTTAGTTATGTCCTTTAAATATATTCTACATTGTCCGTACCAATGTAGGGGCTGCAGAGGTGTTATCTATGCCGTTAGTTCTTACTTTACGGCGGTTGTCACAAAACGAAAATCGTAAAATCAAATGTTTTATAATTTTTTTTAAGAACTGGATTTGTCAGATTATACTTATAGCCTTGGAACAATTTTTTATTGGTCAAATTAGGAACCTCATTTTCTAGAAAATGTGAGAATACCCACGTCTTTATTTAATTATGATCAAATAAGAATAATAATAATCATATTCAAAACAGTTTTTCCATTGTGGCTTAATTAATAATTTTAATCCTCTGTTTTGAGGAAACAACGCATTCAAATTAAACAAATTTTTACGCGACATTCTTTCGATGTATAAACATAAACAATCAAGGTGAAGCATGTACACTGATAATACACTCTTTTAAGTTGGTTATTTGTTTGAATATTATTTCATTTATCCGTATGTCTGCGGGCGCCCCTGCGGCACAGATGGTTCGAGGTGTCATTTACACCACTGGTTTTTAATATATAAAGGTTAAGAGAAAATAAAAATTGGACTGTACTTCAAGAGCGAGGGAAATTCTGCTGAAGTAACCTTGGACCAATTTCTTAATCTGGTTGTCTTGGGTAAAAGCTCAACACAGATTCATAAACCGCAAGTGCATGGAGATGACGTCATCCTATTGTCGGTGGGAATGAGCAGAGAAATTTATTCATAATCATAACACACATATAAAACTTGACAACAATTGGGTCCGGTAATTTCGGACATTATCTGTCTAACAAAAATCGACACAGATGGCGGACAGACAAACAGACGGACGGAAACGAGATATGTTTTCATATTCCAAGTGGAATAAGTGAGAACTCATCGATTAACCCCCGCTACATACAACTCATAGGTATCGGAAAGACAGCAACGAGAGATTGCATCGCGATCGGTTCACCCGCACGGTTCTGTGGACTAGCGGTGGGAGTGAAAAACTTTATTCCTTTTATCGTTAGTCATGACACATCGAGAAAACTTGAAAGTCGCCAATCGCCTGATGGATTCTATTACAATACTTCCTTGGGAAGTAAAAAGCAGTAGCGTAAATGACACTCCCGCAGCCCTTGCGCCGCGGGGCACAAAATTCGAGGGGGCACGATCCGCACAAGTGAGGACAATATGAAATATATCCAAAGCAGATAAGCAAGGGGGAAAATGTATTGTCAATTTTTCAGTACATGCTTAACTTCGACTGTTTATACTTATACTTCGAAAGAATTCGACTATTAGCACGTTTAGATTACAAGCATCAGCGGCGGCATTTGTGTTCATAGAAAATGAAAATTGATTTTGTATCCTCAACGCAGAAGATAGGACTAATTAATTAAGCACACTCGTTTTTGTTTTCCAAAAAACTGATGTCTAGCGTGAACACTCATAAATTTTCAAGAACATTTATTTATTCGGCAAAATTCTAAGGTGACGTAATTTTTTGGAAAGACCACAACAAGTAACCTGTTTTTTGGTACTCTGGGGTTTATGAAACGTCGAGAAAACGTGAAAGAAACAGTCGCCGATGGACTCAATTACAATGCTTCTTTTTTCCGGGGATAGTAAGGTGTTTTGAGTTACTAAGAAGCTAATGTGCTGTGAAAATAATCTCAGATTTTTTTCAGTAAAAAAACATGTTGCTCATCAATCGAGGTGTGGTTTAGTTTCCGCGTAATTCTTTTCTAAATGTAGATTAGATGATGTAAGACAAGCGAAGAGAATAGTGGTCTGCAGAGAGCCGTCAAACGTGGAAGTGAAATAATAAGACGGCATACAGCGTGATGCGAGTTCAGGATCGTGAGAATTCGTACATTTGTATGGCCGCTAGACCTTAGACAACGGGATCAAGCATCTAATATCACCTGCGCGCTGACATAAGTAAACAGATGTACCAACGATTACAATTAATCAGCTCGCAAGGTTAACTACGGCTCTGACATACCGGAAGATTATTTTATATTAGCAGCTGGTTGGAAATTTCTTTGAATAAACACGACGAACCGTAAAAAAATATGATGGCATATGTGACATATTATTCCACACAATGCAAAATACAGCAAAATGCAAAGTCAATATCGGGTAATGTACCTCCAGAATTTCTAAAAATAACTGAATTAAAAAATGTATTATCGAGTTAAATAAAGCACAAAAGCCGAAATTTCAAGTTTACTCTAACGAAACACAGCTTAATGCAAAGTCCCTGCACCAGTTGGTATAGTACAGAGGTGTACACATATTATAACTAGGAAGTATCATCGATAGGAAATTATTAATATTAAGAAACAAGACGGGAATCAAAATGTGTAGTAGCAAACTAAACGGCCTGGGTCAGTTGCGCGCCGTGGTCAGAAAAATCTGCAAGTCATCCTACGCCCACAGAACAATTGCGCCCAAACTACCAAAGAGGCAAGCATCAATTGTCAGCTGTGGTCAGAAAGATTTGCATATACATACTTTCAAGGATTAATACCATTATTAAGTATATTATTGTTATTGCCTATTCTAATAGCATACGTGGGCGTTGGTTATTTAAAAATAAATAAATACCAGGAGAAAGAATTCATACTTTCAGAGACACTCTTGCACACGTATTTATTAATCATTAGATATGTATATGTATAAAATTTTTGTTATACGGTAGTGTTTACGATTAAAAGTCGCTTATTATTACTTTGGTACGCAATTTCTCCAAACATCATGCATCCAAGTTGAAAAAAGACGTCACATTAAGTTTCCTCATATTTTATGTTAGCCCAAATTTCCCGTCTTAGCCTCCAGCGTTCGATGAAGTTAAAATTCAATTCTCACTCATCATAAGAATGCAAAGTGTTACACACTGTCTCTGCTTCTATTTTTTTTTTTTTTTTAACTGACGTCAGCTAAATTTGATCGTAATGCTAAGATCAAACACCAAAAATGCCCCTTGCACTGTAATAAAAGCATACACCTAAAAATCATTGTTTATAAAAATAGAAAACACCTTTTGACCACAACGTCTTCGCCCGACTGATACAATTTTGCGCTATAAAATTGGAGGGCATGTTCTTGACGCTCATTTGTCATCTCGCCAAGAAAACTGCCAGTTTCCGGATTGCAGTCCCCATCCTTCTTAGAAACAAATTACATAGTCCATGTCGTCCTCACTATGATCCACAACCTCGAAATTTTTATCATCGCTTAAATGTAAAAATCACCTTAAATTCTAACCAAGTTTTGCAAAGTGGTTGTTTAGGAAGACAAACTTAAATTAAGATTATTGCATAGCTATATCTGTACAAAAAAAAATTTAACTGATGATAGTCGCCTACTTACACTAATGCAAACGTCCATTAAATCCGCATTACCCATTTTAAAAAGACATTCATCATATGCGATGTTTTAATTTACGACTCTACGTATGTTAATAAAACACAGTAAGTTCTCATCGATTTATAGTGGAAATCCTGACGACGTAAAATAAATGAACGTTCACGTTTGGATTCTTATCTATGTTTATCGCTTTCTAAATAAATAAACATTCTAAAAGAACTATGACATCTATGTATGTGTTCTAGCTACTCCATTTTCTGTCAGATTATTGGTAAAACGTGAAAATTCTCCAAATTTCAAAGTGAAACCGGTCATCGAAAATTACTTAAAACAGTGGCAACTTCTGCAGGAATTGACATTACAGCTTCAGGGAAGTTAAAATTTGGATTTAATTGGTTTTTATGAAATTGACGTTTCGATCGACTCTCAAAGGATATCATTATGTCCAAAAAGACGGAATTATCGAATGTTGCCGACTCTTGTTAATTTGACTAAAATAAAAGTAAATTCGTTGTATTGAGAAATATTTCACGGGTTTCCCCGAGGCTCGGTAATTGGATTTGTTTAATGAATCCAAAAATATCAGGAACCATCTTAAATGCTGTAAATTTATTATTACAATCGACAAAAACAGAAAAAAAAAACTGATTAAGCTGTAATTTTTTGTATGTTGACGTATTAAAATTTAGATTCCTGAGCACTGCCAGTGTGGTGTATATGGTAGCGAAGACTACTTTATCGGGTTCAAACTTGTTAAAAAGATAAGACTTCAGTGTATTGAGATTTCTTTTCATGTGGAAATCTATCTAACAAAATCGCATTCGTTCTGCTACTTGAAGAAACAGTGTAAGAAACAGTGTAAGAAAAAGTGAGAAACTCTGCCACTAATTGACTCAATGAAATAATTGTAAAGAGTTAGTCACTGTGCAAGAGTTTAAAAATAAACCATATGCTGTTCAACTAAAGCTGATTAAAATGCGCAAAGATGGGCAAACGATAGAGCGTGCCAAAAGTTTGTGACGTGACAAAAACAGGAAATAAATGATATCACGGGGATATTTAATTAGTCATAAATAAAAAAAAACATTTGGGGTTGAGTTAGTATATACTCAGTTTAATCAGACGTGTGGAATATTTTCGTAAGACTTAGTTTTGATTTTATTTATAAGGCGCCGGCAAAGAAATTCTTTATAAAGAGAAGATTGAGGTGTTTGAGCGCATTGTTTGGATTGTCGCTTCCCAGCATTCTCCAATAATCTGCAATCTTCCGATACGGTTATCCAAACACCTGTTCTAAAAAACCTGAAAGTCAATATTTAAACTAATTAATTAAAAACTCTAGTTTATATTTTCTCGCTCCAATATTTGGTGGTTTTGATTACATCTCTTTTAACATAACCGCACTGAGCAATTATTTTTTTACAGAATCTGGAAAACTGCTTGTGACAATATAGCGAAACAACGAAATGTAATGTAATAAGCAATACGTAGACATGATATATTACATATGTACACGACATACAATGTTCAGTTAGTTAATTAGTTGTACTGTAAGACCCAATACTATTTCCGAAGTACATACATGGTTTTCCAATTTTTAATGCACAGTTCTTCTGTCTTTAACATGAAGCATGCGCTAAGCACAACAGTTTCAATTTAGAAAATGGAAATTTGTAATAGCTTCGGAAGGTTAAGTTCAAACAAGGCCTCCAGAAATGGGTGGTACTCTACAAAGTAGTCTATAGCAACATTAGGAACATATTATGGCTAACCACGATACCCCGCACATCACCTTCATTCTGCCAGAATCAATGTACAGGTGTTGGCTCAGCAGAAACAACGGGGCACTAGCGGAGTCTGGATGTCTACGTGGGACCGATAAACATTTGTAAATTAAAATATTCGCACAAAATGAAAAATAAATCATACAAATGGACTAAATTATTCAAACATCGTAACTTCACGTCCGACACTAAATGTGTGACAATATGAGCAAACAAAAAGAATAAAATCAAATAATCCATACAGATTGTTAACATTCTTATCATTTTACAAACATACAAAAATATAATACAAATTGATGAGCAATTAATTAACTGCAAAACTTTATTATCGTAATGTTAGGAGTCTGTTTTAATGCCCACACAGGACTCACAATGAAACATTAAAACGAAGAATGTCCCACTTCAAGACATTTAAATAATAAATACTAGGCGAAAAAACACCACGAAAAATACGTTCAGTGATAAGTTTAAAAAACTTGCATCTTCTGAGTTGTGTTAAGTTTTATTATTACTGTTTCCTAGATAAATGTATTTCGAAATTTTTAAATGAGCGTTAATATACAGCTGGCGTCATACTGTAATAAAAAGAACTTCTCTGGTCCAACCAATGGCGTAACTAAAAATACGCGCGTCCTTCTGTAAACTTTAATGTTGCCTCTCCCTGTACTAAATTATAAATTAAAACAAAAAACAAAATGTGAAAATGTGAATAAACAGTACTGTTTTTATCAGTATTACAGTGAATGCACTGTAATACTGAAATGTGTCTTGGCTAAAATGTTGACTCACTTAAAACAAACGGATATCATGCTTCTTTGTGTGCACTTTATCATTCAAAAATAAAATTTGGAAAATTAAATTTTATCATTTTTCGAAGAAGCCATATTTGTTCCAGTGCACTGAACAGGCGAGAAAAGTTATGTGCAAGTAACCTCAGACCAATTTTTTTTTCTTTGAAACCGATAAATTCCAGATAACAGTCTGACGAAATCTTTATCTGTTTTGTTTGCTCAAGTGACATGGAATCCTCCGGCGAATATGCTATTCATGCAGTATTTCGTAATTGAACACTGATTATGTTAAACAACACATCATTACAGTTCGAAACATAATCAAAAGTTCAAACTTTTATCAAAAATAATTCAAAATGGGGATTTTTACTTCATGATCGTAAGCTAATTAAATAATAATTGAAGTTTTACGAAAATTATTTTTGCTATTAAAAAACAAATTATCAGTAGCACTAGGTATCGCTTGTGAGAAATTGATAATTTTAAACGTCACATGTTAATAAATTTCTGTTGCTCATAATATATTTTCAACACAAAGAATACACATTCTACACTTTATTATCTAACATGGCGACTTCATGTCAAATAACGGCTTCATCTATGTTAGAAATATTGCCTTCCCAAGCTGTGAATGAATTCCAAACTTTCAAACATGTAAAATAGAAAACATCAGAAACAAAGTTAAATTCATACTGTAATAAACAAATGTGTCGCCTGATAACTAAAAAATTGCAGAAAAAATCTTCCGACCCTATCACCGTAAGTTCGATTTCTTACAAGAAACAATTAGTTGTCGTTTCATTCAAAAAATCATCTCCAACATATTTTCATACGATGTCTGACTCAAAAATTTGAAAAACGGTTCTGGTTTCGAACGAGTTGCAAATAGTGATCAAAAAATTTTAAAATGCCCATACCGAATAGTATCATTCATATGGCGCATATTCATAACAAAAAATAATTTTACAAGGAAAATGTTCAGGTACCAGTTAAAAGTAACGTGCATACCTCAAGGAGTTGAAAAATATTTAATGGATAATAAAGCGTGATTTATCAATTCATTCTATCAATGTTTAAGATATATTGCACAAATCTTCCACTTATTAGACGTAAAGATGTAATTTCAGAGGTAATTTAAGAAGCGGTAAAATAACCTGTAATTTTTGGTAATCGATAGATTTGCGAGTTATGATCGTTTAGATTCCAAACAAAAAAAAAAAAAAAAACAAATTTCTTCCATACGCCACGTTTTTCGATTCGTTAACAAACACGAAAAATACATCTTGATTTATCATTAACATTATATTGTCAACCAAGGAACATTCTAATAGGTGTTTGAAAATTACCGGCATATGAAACAGCAGAACTACATACACGACCGAAACCATTAGGACCAATCAACCGACGTAATTTTCCATATTCTACGGAATTACGGTCGTCATTTGCTAGTATGAATTTTGTACAGAGTAAATCATTATTCGTGTGCGTAGCGGCTTTTTTTATAAGTACTTGCTTCTTATTATTCAAGATTAAAAGTGCCAGTAATTATTCACGGCCCACCCTGTATTTTGACACACTAATAACGTCGAGCAGCTATCCGTACCTCGAAACGGTGGATGTGCATAAAATTCCCTGGCGAGGGATCTCTTCGCCGTAAAAAAATGCTCCTTTATTCTTGCTTAAAATTGTATCATCATTTATCAAAATTCCTGAAGCATCAACCCAGCCTTCTTTTTATTTCAAGAGCGCTTACAGTTGGCTTACTTCGAAATCGCTGGACTATTGGGAACTCCGAAAATGGCCACTTCTAAAGACGTTACTTTAAATCCCGCACGAGGCAGGCATATTTATATTTTCGTATCATTCACAGAGCTAAGCGGATTTCAATTTAATTATACACTACCAGACATAAATTAAGCAAACATTCAATTTTGATACAAAATGACTAAAATTAAAAATGCAACAAATCGTTTAATACTTCAATACTGCACTCCAGATAATACAAACAATGAGTAATATATTTCCAAGGATATTAAAATATTAAAAGTTTCGAAAAGTGAAGGCAACCTAAAATGAGCAACATTTTCTGTTAACGTCTAAAAAGTTAGTACATGTACATATCGAAAAACTTATATTAATCTACTGATTTTTCATTTAATTATTACTTCCGAAGCATACGCTAGGGAAGTATTGTAATAAGGTCCATCTGGCTAACGGCTAATGATTTCTAGACATTTCACGATTGATAGAAATGAAAAAATAGGTCGCTCGTTATTTCGATACTTCCATTTCCCCTGAATCAGAGTACGGTTTATCCAACTTTTTCGAAAAATTTATAAAATTTGATTTGGCATTTTATTTACGACAATCCCTATAAATTTAAATGAAGATACATGTTAAAGTCAAGGTAAAGAAGCATGTACGCGTAGGGTAAAAATTCAAGACGAATTCGTAAACCACAAGTGCAGGCGTATCTTATTTTATAAAATTTAAATAACATTTGCTGCCTGTAAATTTTCCACATGACGTCATCCCACTGTTGGTGGGGATGATTAGGCAATTTTTGGTTACCATTTTATCATCTACACTATATTCCTAACATAGATATAAAATTTGACAACATTCGGTCCAGTAGTTTCGGAAATTATTGGCCTAATAAAAATTTACAGAGGTCATGAAACGTTGAGAAAATATTAAAGTCGCCAGTCGCCCGATGGACTCGAATACAATACTTCCTTAGCTTAAGCTCGGGAAGTAAGAATAGGTCTGACTGTATCGAATTATTAACGTTAATAACAAATGTGGAATTATCAGTTCTTTTCGAAATATAATTTTGCATAATTACTTTGGGTCTTTACTGTTTGCATAAGAATAATATGCGGGGGTTGGATGATTGATATTCCATCAAGAACAGTATTAATCTGTGAGTTTCTTGAAAAACAAACATTAAATAAACGCATCTAATTTAATAGGTGCTTGGGTTGCAAATTAAAATTCTCGGGGTGGTCTCTTTAAAAGAAAATCAACAAAAGCTTTAAAATAATGGAATTCTGTATTACTAAGTTTAGTGTCGAGGATTTGGTAGTAAAGCCCATATTTCATAAATAAATATAAGAATAGAAATATGCCTAAAATATATGCCATAAAAGGTATGCACGTCTGACCACATACATAATGCACGCATTATTAGAGTTAATTCTATACATTATTAAATTGTTCCTCTGTTAAATTATCTCTAATCGAATGAAGTATTCGTTCGCAGTAATTTAAACCTTTTGTATATTGCTTAAAATATTTATCCAATGATGAAGTGGACATTCCTATACCGCATGTTTCATTCAATAAACTACAATGCAGTATCTGAGGATTTAAAAAACATTTACGAGAATTCTATATTCAACGAAAGATCATATTCTGTCGTAATTTCTACGATCTTGTTGGTTCAACAGTTATCTAGGCACTGTTATTAAACCGACTTTTCCCACAAAGCGTGTTCTCGGGGATCATAACAGCTCTTAAAGGTTATCTGGAACGTCGAGAAAATATTATTGGCCTTTCATAACAAATGTAATGCTGTCCAATATGGATAAAGCACGTTTTGTAAACACAAATATCCAATATCCTAAATGTTTTCAAAGTTGACACATTTGTGCTATAAAATTTTCAAAAAATATGTTTCCAGATCGAAAGCGGCAAAGAACGATTTCTCAAATAAGAGATTTTAGGATTGCTCTAAATCAAAACGGACACACTTTCTCGCAGATTCGAGTCATTTCCATAAAATTGGTGCGTTACGTGCGCTGGACGTGACGAACTCTGCAACGCCTGGTTTCCTGTTAAAGCGAAGCCTTATTTATCCTACGCACTTTTTAAAAATAGACTTCCTTTTCTAATTGGGCAGTTATTAAGTTTGATGTTCTCGGTCTTTACGAATACAACGCTTCACTTTGGACGCCGATGATTCTATTGTTTTTAGTGTATACTAAAATTTTTGCACCTTTTTCAAATTTTAGGGTAACTGAAAATTGCGACCATCCTACGGATGCACGTAAATGATCGATCACTTGTCAAAATATATGATTATAATGATAAAAATAAAACGTGCAATGGCGATCATGACACGCCAAACTATGAAATCTCGAGAATAATGTTGTTTGGAAACGTGAAGGATGCTAGTCTACCAACATGCGGTCCACGAACTGATCCCGTTAGAACCAAAGCTGGATATCTTATAAACGGAAGTATTGTCCACCAATCCAGTTCTATAATTACTGTTATAAACAAACAGAAAATGTACTATTTAAAACATCGCAAGGGACTGCAAAAAGATGGAAACAATAATTTGTTCTTCCACTGTTTAGTTCGTTTCGCTACATGATAATTAATCTAGTCGCAAATCTAT